AAACAGTAAAACCTTCCAGCTTTTTTCCACAAGTTCCATAAGTTCAATTTTTAATTCATTCAAAGCTGTCGGTTGCGATAAACATTCAAAATATAAAAGGCCTGGTTCCGCAGATATTTGACAGCACGCAGCTTATTCAGCAGTCCTGAAGCATCGCTCGGAATATTTTGTTTTTCAGGTTCCCAAAGTAGACAACCAAGCTGTATGAAAGATTAAAAATATTTAGATTGTCAGCATTTTTAATATTTTCTAAATCATGTGCACTAAATGCAAATCTCTTTTTCCATACCTTATTCGAGTAAGGGCTTCCGCGCCGGCGCTCCACGTACTGCCTGTAGGTCTCATCGCTTGGTTTGTCTTCACATTTCAGGTTCAAAACAAACCACATGATCTTGGGAGCCAGGGACATGACACCGACAATATTGCGGTAAATTGTATCTCTTTCATTAAGCAGACCAACTCCTGATACAGACAACAAGTCAACAATGGCTCCTGTAGTGGCCATTTTTTAAACCTGTTGAGGGGAAAATGATTTAAAACATAAGAAGTCTGGGACAGTATTTAGAGCAATTAAATATAATCATTTTTTTAATTCATGACTTATTAAAGTTATGTACAGAGCGAAAATACCTTACTTCATGAATTGAGAAAATCGTTCGTAGTTCAGACTCTCTCTACTCAGTTGTGCCGGGAACCCAATTATTGATCTTAGGCTGACTCAAGCTCCCTTGATTCTGCTAACACTCATATAATGGAGTGAGTCGATATATCAGATCTTCTTATAAGTTCAGCAAAATTCCGTTTTAAAGAGATTCAATTATATATCCAAAGATCCAAGGAAATGAAACATTATTTAATGTATTTGATGATATTGAAATAATTGCTTATTATTTTCTGGAATGAGTTAATACTGACTAACTAAAGATTTAAATCGAAAACCACTTTCATCAACGTTTTCAAAAAGCACTCAATTCTCATAATAATCTATGCGAGAAATCTTATTCAGCTAAACAACTTAAAATATTCACTCAGTTTTGAAAATTTCTTAAAAAATCACGTTAACTAAATATTTGGTGATATCGCTAAACGAACATTAATTGCCAATTCTTACCACATAACGCAGAAACAGAAGCTCTTTTAATGAATCAAGTCTTAAATTGAAAGCTGCTTACTGTGCACAATTTGCATTGGTGTTCCTTCAAAGGCAAAAATGCAAATAAATAAAGAGGGCCTTGATCGAGTCTTAGGTTCAAGATTCGAAGCTTTTTAAAAAAATACATAAATGAACGAAATACGGAAACTTATTTATCTAACTCTTCCCGATACAGCCTACCATCTCCCCTAAACGGTATAAGAGTTCTTGGTAAAGTCGAAACTTTAAAACCAATCACAAAAGCGAAAATCTAGATATTTTAGTTAACCTCCTATGAGCATCAACATCAATAACTAAATATAAATAATATGCGTTTAAAAATTACTTTTTAAAGGCAACACTTCCTAAGAATCCAGTCTCTCTGATGTTACACAGATACAATGAATTTCTAATTTTATTTCCAAATATTAAAGGAAAAAATTTTTTACTTTTTTCATATATAAAAAATTTAAAATTCCAAAATTATTTAATCTCTCAATTTATTCACGCATTGTTTCCAACTTTACGCAAGGTTATGAAATTTCAGATCGATTGGAGGGGTAGAAGTGTGTTAAATATGTATTATAAGATTTGTCGCAGACATACAAAAAAAAACAAGGAACAAGAAGTGAAGTTAAAGAGAAGTGTTGTACAAAGTTGAAAAATCACAAGGGCCTGATGAGTAATGAAATGGCGTCATCGTCCTTAAAGGTCTGAATGCAGGAAAAAATATTGATAATAAGAAAATGAGCTGTTATGATGTTACTCAAGATACGAAACAAAACTACCATGCAGAAACATAAAATAACTGCGGGTTGTGGTATCTGTAATTGAAATGCATCTGAGTAACATAAAACAAATGGATAAATAGAAAACGCACGCATAATAAGGAAACCGTTAAGCCTCATTTGGCGCGGGATTTTCTAAAAACAACAAGCGGGGCTAAAGGAAGCTGGTCTCTTGGGTGTCCCATCCTTTGCAATTTTTTTGGTCAAGACGCTCCCTTAAAATTCATGAAATGGAATTGACCGAATTAAGGCTAAACCCATCATGCGCGCGTCTCAATATGATATATGTGACCTAATTTATATATACGTCCTAATATATTTCAAAGGTTCAGGTTTCAGTACCTGAGATGAACAAATATCAACGAATACAACACCTCCCACATGCCCCATCCTCGCGTGCCCCCTATACCTTGTTCACCCAATCATACCACACACCATACCCCCTAATTTTCCTTTCAAATTAGCATACATGAGGCGTGGTGAATTATTACATCGTCAATTAACGATTGCATCAAAGGAAATAAGGAACAAATGAATTAAAATAGTTGAAAAATTTCCCGCCTAAGCAAATACCATTCGTGAAAAACACGAATAAATAAAATGCAATACAAGGTTAGCAGATTTTCAGATTGTTTCTTGTTAAAAAACTTGATATTTTTCTAGTTTCAGAGCAACAAAATCATAACTGGGTATTGCACAAGAGCAAATTTTAGATAATATTGCAAGTTGGAAATTTGATTTCTACGCCGGAAATTAAGTTTAATAAAATTTTTTCCTTAATTATACAATTAGGAGGAACTAATTTTGCAACACAAGGACCACTTTTGTGGTTAAATGAATCATTTTAAAGCATTTCAAACATTTATACCTTTGCTTCATATTTTTCAGTACTGTCAACATTTATAGTATTGTAATTCGAAAAAAATTAATTTTGTAGTCGGAAACGACAAGTAAAAAGGGAATGTATACGTACTTATTTTATTTATTGATTATAACTTATTTCATAATCAAGAAAGTAAAGTCAAACTGGAGGTTCAGTACAGGATATTGCATTAATTTCAAGGAATTGCATGACGCCGCAATATCTGATATATTTTGATCACTTTACCCTTTACACGCATTATATGCGGTATACCAGCGGTGTGCGTGCAGCGGGTTTGATATAGAACAGGAAGCCTCACTCCGATATATGAGTGCATGGTGGAGCACAACCTGCCCTGGGGGTTGAAAAAAGCAACCTGCCTTCGATATTAAAGAAGTTCAACCTATTGTCTTTATTGTTGAAGAAATTCAACCAACCTTTACTATCAACAAACTTCAACCCACCTTCACTGTCAACAAAATTCAACCACCTTCAAATCAACAAAATTTAACACACTTTTACTATCAAAAAAATTCCCCCCACCTTCACTATCTACAAAATTCAACCCACCTTCAAATCAACAAAATTCAACAGACTATAACTATCAAAAAAATTCAACCCACCTTCTCTATCAACAAAATTAAGCCCACCCTAAAATCAACGAAATTCAAAGGCCACCGATAACTTCATAACTTCTGTATACCAGAAGCCCACCAATAACGGAATATACCTCAACGCGCGCAGTGAATGCCCCCAACGATATAAAGACAGCACCATCAAGGCATTAATCCACCGCACCTATAAAATATCACATACTTGGCAGTTATTTCACTACAGTATCCTGAAACTAAAACAAGCCTTCATCAACCAATTCACTCTTCGGCAATATTCTGAGCTGTTACCTAGCAGCAATCAGCCAAAAAAACAGGAGACCCAACGAGCGATACAAGAAACCCCGAACTTCAACAAGTCCATAATGTTTACAATCAAAATCAATATTCATCTGCATACGAAACTGACGAACGATTCCCCAAGCATATGATTAGAAACGGAAGTAGTTCTTAATAAAACTGGCATCATTTTTAACCAAACATGTCTAACAAAATTTTGTAAATAAACTTAGGAAAAGAAATTACTGCGTACATTCATAGAAATGAGTGAGATATTGTCCTAATAGCGATGTACTTTCCTTCATTTCTGGGTAATTCTGGCCCAGTTTGGCCCGGCAGAAAAGTGCATCAATATAATGTCCCCTCTCTGATGGTGCGTTTGCACCATCGCACCATCCTTCACTCCTCCTCTTCCTCTGGCTCCTCCTCGGCAGGAGCATCCCGCTGCAGCTCCGCGGTCTCCTCCAACAAGGAGTTGTAGAACTCCTCGATGGCCTCCTCGGAAGGTGGCTCGAACTCGCCTGGTTCACCTGCGATCAGTTAACCGTCAATAACATGAATAAAATGACATACAAACTCCTCGATGGCCTCCTCGGAAGGTGGCCCGTACCTGTCTCTTATACACATCTAGATGTGTATAAGAGACAGTCTTCTGCTTGAGTGCCTGTTAGTACCCAGGCTACAGGGGCCATAATTCAAAACTCGCTAAGTGAACGTAAGTACTTTCGCTCTATTTTCTTGTCTATGATTAAGTGAGCGTAAGTACTTCCACTCTATTTTCTTGTCTATGATTAAGTGAAGGTAAGTACTTGCGCTCTCTTTTCTTGTCTGTGATTGGTGGATTTTGCTTGAAAGCCCGTCAATGATTGGCTGATGAACTTACGATCTCTCAACTTTTTTTTGAAAGCATAGGCCGAGGTAGGCATAACATACGTCACACAGCTGAGGTCCGAGCCCGGCTCGGGTGGAGGCTTTTATGCACAGATTGAGTTTGCTGGCGTGACCAGGACTCGGGGAACATCAACAACAACATCGCAATACGAAAACATTTGCAAGAAACAAGCTTGGGATAGTAGTGCCGGACATTAGATTTATGATTGATTCAACAAAAGTCTAATTGCGATCATGATAAGTGATGATGTCAGTGAAATATTGCGATTCATTTTTGGAAAGAAGAGGATAACAAAAATCATCTCACATGCTTTGCTTCACGTTTTTGCTCATTAGTGAATGANGTTCTGCACATGACTCACCCATCATGTTCTGCACACGACTCACCCATCATGTTCTGCACATGACTCACCCCTCATGTTCTGCACATGACTCACCCATCATGTTCCTGAGCTTGACGCTGCACATGATGTAGTCGCCGAAAGTTACGTTGCCGTCCTTGTCGCCGTAGCGCAGCATGAGCGCGTCGCAGATGTGCTTGTTGAGCTTGTAGCCCGCGCTCGCCAGCGCCGCGCGGAGCTCAGGACAACTTGGAGGGTCCGTCCTTGTTGGAGAGCTTGAAGCAGTTCTGGGGGGTAGGGGGTTAAAATATGAGACAGATGTTATAACAACTGTATAAGTCATGAGATGGAGGTGATAACAACTATGTAATTCATGAGATAATGGAATATAACAACTACAACTTAGAGGATCAATCCTTGTCGAAGAGCTTGAAGCAATTCTGTATGTTAGGAGGGTTATAATATGAGACAGAGGTCAGAACAACTATATAAGTAAGAGAGAAATGGATATAAACATTACAACTCAGGATCCATACATATCATGGAGCTTGAAGCAGTTATGGGGGGTAGAAGAGTAAGGCCATATCTATAACAGCGCAAATTTTGACAAATTTCGATGATCCTTCTTTGTCGTAGAGTTAGAAGTGTTCCTTGGAGGTGGAAAAGGTATGACCAGAGTCACACCCATACAAACCTCTACTCTTCTCTGATCAATAGGCACAATCTCGGATCTTCTCGCGCATTCCTATATTTTGCCTACATCAAACCTTGTCACACGAAGGTCGCTGCTCTCCTCAAGCTCGCGAGTCCTTGGCTGCTAACGTCGTCCCCTTGAATGTGTTCAACAAAGTCGACCACGCTCTCCTCCTTACCATTATTGCGATCTACGACCTTCTTCATAGCATAATCCGGTAGCTATTTATATGCTTTATCCTTCGCATTAGATACCGATCTCCCTCCAGGGCAGTCCAGAAGGGAGTCCCCAAAACTTGGCTGTAGCTATCCCTTGCGCCCCTGAAATACGCTATGCATGACTGCTTTTTAGTGGCGACATCACAAAATAGGCTGATTGACGTATCATCTTTGTTACGACCGCGATGCTTCACGCTGCAGAGGAGGTAAATCATCCGTCACGCTTTTCACAACATGATGCTTAACGCTATCAGGCACGTGGTCCTCTTTTGTCCACCGTTCCTAAGCGCGTGCATGATCATCGAAATAAAAAGCTACAACCCACTCCCTGAGTGCTAATACCAACATGGATGAACTCACCACCCAGGTGCGGATCTAGGTTCAGAGTCGCTCACCATTCAGGTGCGGATGTCGGTCCAGAGTCGGAAGAACTCACTTTCCAGGTGCGAATGTCGGCTCAGAGTCGCTCACCATCTAGGTGCGGATGTCGGTCCAAAGTTGTATGAACTCACCTTCCAGGTGAGGATGTCGGTCCAGAGTCGGAAGAACTCACTTTCCAGGTGCGAATGTCGGTTCAGAGTCGATCACCATCTAGGTGCGGATGTTGATCCAGAGTCGGATGAACTCGCGTGAGCCAAGTTTGCCGGAGCGATCGATGTCCATCATGGAGATCATGGAGCGGCAGATGTCCTTACTGAAGCCTTCGAACTCGAGCTCTGCGGGGTCAGGGGATGAGATGAAATTCAAAATCAGGTTGAAGTTATAACTGGACTGTTGGCAGTGCAGCAATGGCATGCTCTCCACATACGATTTGCTTCCTCAGTTCTTAAAAATTAATCTTTATCGAAGTATGGAGTTTACTACAGCCTGTGTCAGTCTTACCCACTCACCCCTCTTCATGGCATAGTTGAGCACATGAAGCCGGGCTCACATGGTTTATGGCGAATGGGACACATGGTATATGGCTTCGCCATTTACCATGAGCGGGGCTCACTGGTATATGGCGAGGCCGATGTTGAGGCACTGGAGGACTGCGCTGCGCGCTGCGTTCCTCTGCAGGAGCGCGGCGCTGACGGCGCACTTGTCGTCGTCGTCGTCGTCGTGAGGAGGACGCGGCGCTGCGGGCTGTGCCAGAACGGCGCGGAGGAGAGGGGTTCAAGAGGTGGTCCTGGGAGGGTTCAAAAGCGTAGTTAAGGGTGGTGGAGAGGGGTTCAAAAGGTGGTCCTAGAAGGGTTTAAAAGGGTAGTTAAGGGGGGAGGAGAGGGGTTCAAGAGGTTGTCCTAGAAGGGTTCAAAAGCGTAGGTAAGGGTGGGGGAAAAGGGTTCAAAAGGTTGTGCTAGAAGGGTTCAAAAGCGTGGTTAAGGGTGGGGGAGAGGGGTTCAAGAGGTGGTCCTAGAAGGGTTCAAAAGCGTAGGTAAGGGTGGGAAAGAGGGGTTCAAGAGGTTGTCCTAGAAGGGTTGAAAAGCGCAGTTAAGGGTGGGGGAGAAGGGTTCAAGAAGTTGTCCTAGAAGGGTTGAAAAGCGTAGTTAAGGGTGGAAGAGAGGGGTTCAAGAGGTTGTCCTGGAAGGGTTCAGAAGCGCCGTTAAGGGTGGGGGAGAAGGGTTCAAAAGGTTGTGCTAGAAGGGTTCAAAAGCGTAGGTAAGGGTGGGGGAGAGGGGTTCAATAGGTTGTCCAAGAAGGGTTCAAAAGCGTAATTAAGGGTGGAGGAGAGGGGTTCTAAAAATTGTCCTAGAAGGGTTTAAAAGCGTAAAGGGGTTGCAAGACGTTCCGGCACTAAAGATTTTCACAAATCTATAAATAGAAAACAGTATCTTTAACATTAGTATCGAGAGATCATATGAATTTTATTAGACTTAACATTAAAATAGCATACCTAGCGACTTAATGATGAATAATTTACGGTAGCAGTAACAACGTGAGGACAAAGAATAATAGGATAATATAAGGATAGCAGAATAATATTAGGATAACAGGATAACATAAGGATAACTATTGAAGCAGGTAGTTGCCACAGCCCCTCAGTAGAGCCCCTGATGCAGGTGCCCTCGTATACCCTCACCAGGCGCCCTCGTATACCCTCACCAGGCGCCCTCGTATACCCTCACCAGGCGCCCTCGTATACCCTCACCAGGCGCCCTCGTACGCCCTCATCTGCCAGGGGCGCTGCACGCCGCCGTCACGCCTTCGTCTGAGAGAGTCTGGGCTCAGGCTGGTCAGCTCCAGCGTCCCCAACAGCGGGGGAAATACTGGGGAAGAAGTTGGGGAAATAATGCGCCTAAATCCTGGGGAAGATTTGGGGAAATAATTTGCCTAAATCCTGGGAAGTTGGGGAACTAATGCGCCTAAACCTGGGGAAGATTTGGGGAAATAATTCGCCTAAATCCTGTGAGAAGTTGTGGAGCGTATGCGCCTAAACCTGGGGAAGAAGTTAGGGAACTGATGCGCCTAGACCTGAGGAAGAAGTTGGGAACTTATGCGCCTAAACCTGGGGAAGAAGTTGGGGAACTGATGCGCCTAAACCTGGGGAAGTAGTTGTGGAACTTATGCGCCTAAACCTGGGGAAGAAGTTGGGGAAGTGATGCGCCTTAACCTGGGGAAGATATTGGGAACTTATGCGCCTAAACCTGGGGAAGAATTTGGGGAACTGATGCGCCTAAACCTGGGGAAGAAGTTGGGAACTTATGCGCCTAAACCTGGGGAAGGAGTTGGGGAACTAATGCGCCTAAATCATGGGGAAGGAGTTGGGGAATCAATTCGCCTAACCCTAAATCATGGGGAATGCGTTGGGGAATTAATTCGCCTAAATCATGGGGAATGCGTTGGGGAATTAATTCGCCTAAATCATGGGGAAGGAGTTGGGGAACTAATTCGCCTAAATTCACGCTCTATGACCTAGAAAAAATGTTAGGTTAACTTACACTCATAGAAATGAGGGACATTGTCCATATAACGATGCACATCCGGCCTTTTTGTGGGTCACTCTGACCGAAGTGAGTTCGGCAACAGGGCGCATCAGCGCTAAGCACAGAGAGTGCGGCACTATTGAGGCAAAATAACCTTAGCGCATCCTGAGTATATGAAGTATCAGGTCATCTTAGGAAACGTCGAGTTATCCTAGGAAGCGTTATCCTATTAAACGTTAGGTCATCCAATTAAACGTTGGGTCATCCTATTAAACGTTAGGTCATCCTATTAAGTGTTAGGTCATCCTATTAAGCGTTAGGTGATCCTATTAAGCGTTAGTTCATCCTATTAAGCGTTAGGTCATCCTATTAAGCGTTAGGTCATCCTATTAAGCGTTAGGTCATCCTATTAAACGTTAGGTCATCCTATTAAGCGTTAGGTCATAACCTACCTGGCATAGGCCTATAACCTACGTGGCATAGGCCTCCTCCAGCAGGGCGGACCAGTGTTCGCATGAAGACGAGCTTGCCGTAGTACGTCGGCAGACGTCGTCTATCACGACGTCCACCCAGCGCCCGTACTGCCAGCACCTGGGACGTGCGGGAACGTTAGCAACATAACCCTGGGTAATAACCTTACCATTACCATGCCCCTGCCCATTACCATGAGGGAGGGTAATGGAAGGAATGGTATTGAAGGTAACTCTCTTCAGTTGCGTCTAGCAGCCTCAGCCTTCACCTACAGCAGGTATTCTTGGACGTTTCCACTGTTAGGACTTGGGGGGACTTGCATGGGGACGCTGGAAGGACTTGGGGGGACTTGCATGGGNAGGACTTGAGGGGACTTACATGGGGACGCTGGAAGGACTTGGGGGGACTTACATGGGGACGCTGGAAGGAATTGGGGGGACTTACATGGGGACGCTGGAAAACATGGGGAGGCTTTAAAACTATTCCTTGTAGTATCATCCAAGAAAACGCTAGTAACTGATGCCAGACGGTTGGCTGTAAACCAATTTTACGACGTCGGTTGTAAAATTTTATATTTCAAAATTGAACTTTCAATAAGCAAGAATCATTTTGATGCTCAAACATTCAATAAACCTTTCATAATTTGTCTGTATGATGAATCTAGGAAAATTGCGTGCATGCTTAACTCTGAACTAAAATTTGATTCAATTCATTCTCCAGGAAGTAAAAAATAAAGATAAATTAACAGCAGAGTAACTGTTAACCCGATCATCACATTCAGCAAACTTCGTATCCCCGCTATTGAGATTAAATGCATATAAACCATCACTTTCGGATTGGAATTGCCCAACTTAAGTCATCATTGTCTAATTATTTCATTCATGTTGCATTGGAGCGGTGATAACACATTCTCGACATACTGATGTTATCCACCTTAATCTATCGGCCAGAGCTCTCGCGGAACCTGTAGCGAGCTCATTACGTACCGCCCAGTGGCCGCCAGAGTAGGGAGCAGACTCTCGTAGCTGTCTGACTAGGGATCGAAAAGGAGAACTAAAAGCGGACATAGAGAAGCTTATTTACGCGCGCCCCGAGTCCTAGGCGGTACCTATTTCAGAGTCGGACCCGCATCTGAATTTTGTATGGGTTTCTGCGCGAGGAGGAACTCGTCCTTCTCGGCCAAGCTGGTGGCATAAGGCACGTAGACCAACTCCTTGAACTGCGGGTGCTTCTCAGCCCACGCGAACGCCTCTTCCCAATCTTCATCCTCTACGAAGAGCTCGACTACGCACTGCAACGCACCCATCTTCCTGTTGATGCAATATTGTAACGATAGTCGAGGAAAACTGCAAATAGAAGTCATTTCTATAAATTAGATGCAATTATTGACTACAGGTGAAGCACCCTTCCTGTTAATGAGACGTTTTAATTGACGGCCGTCCATCGTTTGGGTACTGTGAGTGATGAACATGTGAAGTTTGATGACGAAATTGCGTGTAGCTCATTGACTAATTATTGACACAAAATCCTCAAGGAAGTAAATCAACCTGTGCAATTCGATGACGCAAGTGCGTGTAGCTCATCGACGTATTATGACAAGAAAAACCTTAATGAAGTAAATTAGCCGGTATAGTTCGATGGCGTAGGTGCGAGCCTTGAGTTGCCGCAAGTGCTGCGCACACAGCGACAGCGTCTGGTGGTCAGCCTTGTCCGCTTTGCGTCCCACGTCAACGAGCCTGGCAAAATAATCATCGAATCAATAAAATGTTTTTCATAATTGATTCATAGATAATTTCGCTTATATTACATTCATTTTTTTCAAACGTTTGCATGACTGACGAGCAGGAATAAAACAGTTTCGGGGACGGTTTTATTGAAATTTATCATATTGCTATTGATATTAACCCTCATCAGAATCAATGACAAGATGAACTAAAATTCGAAAGATTTTTTCACAATGTGAATGGAAAACAAAATAAAGCAAGAATGTTTCATCAAACCACAGTTTCCGCAATTTTTTCTGGATAATTTTTTTAACAAGGTATGATACAAAGAAAAATTTCCATAAAAATTGTCTCCTGCTCACATCTCGACCCAGCCGTTCTCGGCCATGATCTCGGCGGCTCTGGCGGTCTCGCCAGCGGACAGGTACATCTCGGCGGCTTTGGCGGTCTCGCCAGCGGACAGGTACATCTCGACGGCTTAGGCGGTCTCGCCAGCGGACAGATACATCTCGACGGCTTTGGCGGTCTCGCCAGCGGACAGGTACATCTCGACGGCTTTGGCGGTCTCGCCAGCGGACAGGTACATCTCGACGGCTCTGGCGGTCTCGCCAGCGGACAGGTACATCTCGACGGCTGCGCGCGGCTCGTTGATGTTGCGCGCTCAGTCCGCCTTCTTCTTGATCAGCTGCTGCTTGTCCGTCGTGCCGTCGGCACCCAAGTATTCCTGTCATAAATTCAAGCATTGCGGTGATATTATTTTGCAACAACCTAAAGGAACAATTATTCAAAGCTGCCGCTAAGTTTATGACCCTTGCCACTAACAAATTTCCAATTCCAATGTTTTTTAAATATTACTGTTTACCAGAAACATTTAATAAAAGTTTTATCATAATATCAAAACATATATTACTTATGTCAAATAATGACTTTTAAATAGTTCACGTCATGCTGAAACGTCAGAGGTCGGTGTGCATATCTGCCCCAAATTGCAACCATCGCTATGTCGATCATCTTGAGGGTGTATATGTCTACAAAATTGTCACCATCGCTATGTCGATCATCTTGAGGGTGCATATGTCTGCAAAATTGTA